CCACCGGTTTTTCTAGTCCACGGTCAGATTTTTTGTACCAGAATAAAATCATTGGGATTTCTTTTTCCATGGAAGTGAAAAAACAAAACAGGGGAAACCCTTTGATATAATGTAAAAGAATGTTCTTTTTTGTGCTTTTTTATGGTTATCGAAATGATTTTGTAATGGTCAGAACGAGGGTGTTCAATAATCATAAAACGATCAACAACCACCTTCAGGACAGAAAAACGTCATTTGAAAAATGATGTTTTGTTATCTAACTACCACGCGCCTAAATGTTTGGGAACTACAGAATGCTCTTGTAGGAGGTTTAATACCGTAGTACCTTCAGTTGAACCACCAAATTTGAGCTCAATTATCTCGGTTCAATTGTAAGATATCACAAAAGTTTTAACTCTATTAGTGGAAATACGGTATATGGAAGGTCCAATTTTCGTTAAAACGTAATTCGATAATTTAAAGTTTCGTGATTTCAATAGGCTCTTGTCAATGAAAGTATATATTTGATTTTCTTTTGAGATGTGTATGAATCATCACTACGGTACAAAATATCGTCCGATTGTTCGATGTTCAGGAGAAGAACAGAATTTGAAAAATAACAAGAAGCGGAACAAAATTAGTGAAGGAAAAACCAGAAAAACAAGAAACACAAGACTCTGTTGCTCTGTTCAGCGTAAAATTTCATTTTTCCTGTTTTTTTTTTCGTTATTTCTGGCAGACCCCCTGGATACGCACTAACTTAATGAAAGAAACCAAAAGATGCGCCCGCATTGAAAACGATTTGATGATGACGTAAAAGGAGATGACGGGAGAAAAAAAGGGATATCATTATGCAGAATGAAAAGTAGATGTTGTAGAGAATGTCATCTTACTTTGATACTCTGAAGAAGTCGTAGGTGTGAATTGGTTTGGAAAGTTGTAAAGAAAGGTAGTGAAGGGAACTTGTTCGAGGAGATGGCGAAGGAAGTATTCTCGTGGCTGGAACTGTAAAGTGGATCAGAGAGACATACGAACTCTTAAAGGGTTTTGTGGATTACGGTTTTTATAAGCCACTGAAATAATCTGGAGTTTGTAGTTCATATACTGAGCACTGGTACTCCAAGTACCGTATTTTCTCAAATAGAAGCGCAACCGTCAACTTTGAGATTGTTTATCTCGATTTCTGTGAGAGATATCAAAAAGTGGTCAACTAATAAAATGTAGCTGATATTATGATAAATATTTTATCAGTTGACCACTTTTTGATATCTTTCACAGGAATTGAGATTATTGAGCTCAAAGTTGACAGTTTGGTTGAGTTTCAATTAAAGCAAACGGTACTTTTATGCTCTATAGCTACCGTTCTTTTTTGCAATGTTGGCTTAAAAAATTTTTTTCTAACAGGTTACAATCCTACAAATGTAACTTACCATGAACAGCCAGCTCACCTATATATTTCAAAACATATCTGCTTTAAATAATAGAGCTCTGCCAGCCCAGTTTCTATGAATTCGACACATTGGGAACTTGGAAAAACGTATAATTTTGGGTGTAAGAGGCTGGTTGACTGGTGGTTTCAAAACGATATTTTGTTTATAATTATTGTGTTTGAGGATGACCACGAAAGGCAAGAATCGATGCTGCTCACACACTTGAAACTCATCCTCAATGAAAAGAGTGAAAGTCAACTTTCTTGAGTTTTGGGAGAGAAGGAAACCAATTAGGTTCAGACCAAATTCCACGGATTTCCGTTTCTCGAGCGCCTCTTGAGTGCAATTCGAGATGGTCCTTTCATTTGTCTGCGTCTCTTCGTCTCACACTATCTTCAACCGGTAAAACGATACGAAATGCACGTTGGAAGGAAGAAGTAGACTGAAGGAAAAGAAGAAAAAGAAGAAGAAGCAGCTTCTCCTGGACCTTCGCGCACTTTTCCGCCGTAACAATTGGTGATGATGGAGTTGTTGCGGAAGGATGATGAAGAAAAATAGAAAATACGGGAAAAGGGTCCCCACTCTCCTCAAAACAAATTCAATTTTGTTGCACTTTTCTGCTCGTTTTGGTCCTTACAGATCCACCTTCTTTTTTTCTTTAAAAGTTTTTCGAAGAATGAGGGACGCTAGGCGGAAAGGCTCGCTCGTAAAGTGACCTTGTCGATTCGTCATAATTACGGAGAAGCGGAAAAAGAAGGAAAGAGGAGATGAGAGGAAATAGGGAGCGAAGGACGGATATCAAATATGGAAATTGGCAGCACTTTGACAGGAAATGACTGACGAGCACTGGCTAATTTTCCGACAAGGTGGTCATTTTTAAGAAAGGAATTCGTTTAGTTTAGTTTATGAATTACTATGTTCCATTTTTTCTTGAAGATATAGGGACTTTTAGAAAATTGTTGATGAAATCAGATACGCAGTAAATTATAACTAATTTCTCATTTTCAAAAAAATAATAATCCAGATGTCTAACTTCTATAATGGCTGTCTGAGAAAAAAGGTTAAGAAAGGATATCTCGCAAAAAAATTTCAAAGGTTCAAGAGCAAACTACCGTATCCTTGGAGGTTGGCAAAAAAATCAACTGAGCCAACTGGGCACCCACTTTGGGAGGTCCGATGCCCTCCGGAAGAGAAAATGGCTCATTTTTTACACTCGATTGTATAGAATAGAGGTCGTCCCATGGGGAGAGACGAACCAACTCGAAAAAGCCGACCTTCTTGACAAATTGGGATAATTTATTGGGACAGAAAGACGCAAGAAGGTTTTTCTTACAAGGAGGAAAAAAAGTTGGTGGAGAGTCATGGAAAGAGCACCAAGTTTATTTTGGTTGAAAAAGCGAGGACAATGGAAAAGGGAAGCTGAATGTGATGGCTTTTGGTTGATTGTGGTGGGGGTCTGAAAGGAAAAAAAGGTAGAGAGCATGAATGGAACTATTTCGAGAATAAATACCTTTGTTGGGTTGCAGAAAACAAAAGAAGGAACTCTGAAAAATATTAATAATGCTCAAGTGGAAAAATTTTGAGCTTTTGAAAGTGAAGGGAGGGATTACCATAGCTAGCTTTAATTTGATTAAAAGAACAACTACCGTAAAGTCTGTAATACACGGCCGTTAATTTTCAAATCAAGGTTCCCTTCCGCGAGGCCGTGGTAATAGAAGGGCCTCTTAACTCGTGACAGGTCTTAGGGTAGTCCAAAAGTAACTACTGAATCAGAAGGGTTCTGAACACTAGGTGCCAAATATGTATTGTTCTTATCGCAATCATGAAATCCGCATCAAGGCGGAAGAGATTCCTCCGAAAGTTCCTTAAGTAACAATTTGAGTTGGGACTTCCATTTAAAATTATCTGGTTGTTCCAGGGACTCTTTCACTCCTTTCTAAATATTGCTGCCAGCCTTGGCGCAGGCTCCAGATGAAAGAGAATAACTTCTGGAAGTGTTTTCAAAACTAGATCTGCACAGTTATTATAAACTTTTCTAATACTCAGATGATCGAAACATTTGAATTTTTCAGAATTACCGGTTGTTTTTTAAATTATTTCTTTTCTATCATGTATTTATTTAAATTTTTGCGCCCCTCAAATTGTTGTATCTTCCGAATTATTTTCCCCATCATTAATTTTTCTCAGTTTCCCATGGGACAATGATTTTTTTGGTTTGTGAGTCATAACAATCATGTGTCAATTGGATAGAATAAAAACAAAATTCCATTAGTGTTCCTGAAAACTTCGCGAATTCGATGTTTGATTCGATCATGGATTTATTGTGTAGCTCTAAATCACTCTGCACCAGGGATCTTCGGAACAGAATTCTTATATTTTCGGAATGAAATTCGGACGGGAATTTTTCCGCTTTTTTCAGAATTAGAAATTTTTGAACTACCGTATGACAAAGCCGTACGTAAAAAAGTTTTCTTTCGGGTCTCGAGCGGAATACTGTGAAAGTTTTTGTTGTGTTACCGAAATCTGTTTGTCAATTTTTCACCAACTTTTTGCTGCTCCGGGACGTTTCGTAGCGAGACGATTCGCAGCTGAGACGTTTCGCAGCTAGGACGTTTCGCAGCCGCGCGTTTCGCAGCGGGGACGTTTCGCAGCCACAATTGTCTTAAAGCAAGGAATCGCAGATTTAATGCAGTTTTTTCTTGTATTTTCTTGCAAAAAAAAAACTGAAAAAATTTGATTATGTGCGTTTCTTATATTTAGCTGTTAGAAAACTGATGTCTCGAAGTTGATGAAGGCTATAGAGAATGTAAAATAACAGATAATTGAGCAAGAAAATACAAGAAAAAGATGCTTTAAATCTGCGATTCCTTGCTTTAAGACAATTGTGGCTGCGAAACGTCCTAGCTGCGAAACGCGCGGCTGCGAAACGTCTCAGCTGCGAAAAGCGCGCTGCGAAACGTCCTAGCTGCGAAATGACTCAGCTGCGAATCGTCTCGCTACGAAACGTCCCGGAGCCCTTTTTGCGCTTTTCTGATGGAAAACTGAGATTTTTACTTTAAATTTTGATTGTTAAAAATTCCGAAGATTGCGGAATTTCAAATTTTCAAATTCGAAATGTTCCGAAAATCCGAACATTTGAGGCGTCATCTTACGAGAGAAAAAAAAACTCATTTTTCCAAGTTTACGATTTTCTTCTAGAATTCCAGAATCAAAAAAAAGTGTCTAATCGCAATACTCTGCTACCTCTACAGCTCATACATCGCTACCATTTTCCCTCTAAATATTTACCTTTCTGAGAAGAAACTCGTCAACCAAAAATACTCTCAACACTCATTTTTCTTCTTTTAACCATTTCAAATTGTTATCAGTTTTCATATTCTCTCCGAAAACTCCACCTCTACACACTCCGATAAGAAGTTTTCTGGAAATTCTCCGAGTAATCTCCTATTTCATTAAACACACATTTCTAATCGAGTCGACTAGCTTGGTATTTTCACTTTATTCTCTTCCTCTTTTCCTACTCTTCCCTATTTCCTCTCGTTTCCTCTAACGCCTTCAGCCGTTTTTGACAGCGTCCTTTTGCATCTCAATTCGCAAATATTGATTTTTACTACAGAAATGCTTTATTTTCCAGCCGGATTAGACTCCCATCTGCAAGTTTCAGTCTCAAATTCGAGCGCCTTTCCCATATTCTCATTAGGGCGCGCTTGGTTGTTTCAATTGGACCGCTAAATAATTCAGGATTGTCAGGGAATTATAATTTAAAACAGTGGGCGTTGCTCGGCAAAAAATCTGCTGATTTCTGCGCACGGTTTTCCTGCAAGCACCGCCCACTATTTTTATTTTCTTTGTTTTTGCGCCGGCGGGCTTCATTAAGTTTTTCCGGCAGCTTTGTTTTTATCCAGTTTTTTTTTTGAAAAATCGAACTGCAATTAGGTTGCTATTCGACCTCGAGAGGTGCCCTTGAGGTTATCTCACTAGCGTTCACTCCACCTATACAACCGGTCACAAAATCAAACCATCACTCATTGGCCACTCTGCTTTTCCAAGTTTTTACATAAAGCGCAGCCTTATCGCTTGCGGTGCCTTGCCTCGCTTCTTCGACACTGACCCCTCGATTAGGCGGTTATCATTATCGACCTGTGATAACTTTTCTCCTACTCGATTCATTTCTTTTCTTGCTAATTAGTACGATTTTTATATGAAATTCGTTGAAATTTTCAATTGAGGAATTGTTATATTTTTCTTCCTATTCGTTAGTGACTCATAGCCATTTGAAAACACTGTTTTCTCTATGCCTATTTCTCTATCTCTATTAAAAACCCCTCATGTCGTCTATTTCTTCCTGGTTGCTGTGCGAGTCAGCATCTCTCAAAAAATTCAGTGACACGCCTCTATTGTTCCACAGCTTTCGATTCATTTTGGAACCAATTCTTCTTCATATTGCTTTCAATTCCAATAGCCATCTGTTCGTATGGACATTCCGGCGAAAAATCTTTTATTTCATAACAACAGCATCCATCGTGACCCACTCTGCTTGCCTCGTCTCTCTGTCTCTCTTACTCTTCTCCTCATCCTGGCTGTTGAGTGACTGAGTTTGACTTATTGTTTATTTACACGAACTCCTTCTAAATGTTATGCTGATTTGAATTATTTGTCTTTTTCCGTTGAATTTTCAAACCCCTGTAATTTTCAGACAAGATGGTGGCGTTTGCTGTCATCATCTCTGTGATGATGGTGATCACCGGATCACTCAACACCATTTGTGCCAAATGGGCAGACAGCATCAAGGCCGACGGCGTTCCATTCAACCATCCCTTCCTTCAAGCGACGTGCATGTTTTTCGGAGAGTTCCTTTGCCTCGTTGTATTTTTCCTGGTCTTCGGATATAAAAGATACATTTGGAATCGCGCCAACATTCAAGGTGAGTTTTGATTAACTATTTGAATGAATCCGTTCTGATATTCCAGGTGAAAACGGAAGCATCACCGAGATTACCACCGAGGAGAAGCCAACTTTGCCGCCATTCAATCCATTCCTTTTCTTCCCACCAGCACTGTGCGATATTCTTGGAACATCCATCATGTACATTGGACTCAACCTGACCACGGCTTCGAGCTTCCAGATGCTCCGTGGAGCTGTCATCATCTTCACCGGACTTCTCTCTGTCGGCATGCTCAACGCTCAGATCAAACCATTCAAGTGGTTCGGAATGCTCTTCGTTATGCTTGGACTTGTGATTGTCGGAGTCACTGATATCTACTACGACAGCAACCCACTTGATGACAAGAACGCCATCATTACCGGAAATCTTCTTATCGTTATGGCTCAGATTATCGTCGCTATTCAAATGGTCTACGAGCAAAAGTATCTTACAAAGTACGATGTGCCAGCTCTCTTCGCTGTCGGATTGGAGGGGTTGTTCGGAATGATCACTTTGTCGATTCTTATGGTTCCATTCTACTACATCCATGTGCCAAAAACGTTCTCGACCAACCCAGAGGGACGACTTGAGGATGTGTTCTATGCTTGGCAAGAGATTAAAGAGGAGCCTACCATCGCGTTGGCTCTTCTTGGAACTGTTATCTCCATCGCCTTCTTCAACTTCGCCGGAGTCTCTGTCACCAAGGAATTGTCAGCTACCACTAGAATGGTTTTGGACTCGATCCGTACACTTGTCATCTGGGTTGTATCTATTCCACTCTTCGGCGAGCAGTTCATCGCCATTCAGGTTTGTTACTTAACGTATGATCCAAATAATTCATTCTCCTCATTTTCAGCTCTCCGGATTCGCCATGCTTATTCTCGGAACCCTCATCTACAACGACGTCCTTATCGGACCATGGTTCCGTCGCAACATTCTCCCCAACCTCAGCTCTCACGCTACTTGTGCCCGTTTCTGGTTATGCATCTGCGGAGGTGATTCGGAGCTCATCGAATACAACCAAGATGATCAGGAGCATCTTCTCGAAGCCTAATCAAACTCTATCTTATTCAATTTGCCCCTACTTTCTCATTTTTCATGTGTATGTATAGCTGTGAACACGCGGATTTCACATTTTCTATGAACACAACAACAGCGTGTGGTGCTCTTCTCTTCGACGTTTTTTGAGATATTTTGCTCATATGCTTCCTCTTTCTCGACCCACATAGTTCATATGTTATCTATTATTTATCCCCCTATTTCTCTCTCGATTTTTCCTCGTTATTATCTTTTTCACACACACACGAATCTTACAAAGTTCCAATCTGTGATACGAGTCTCTTTGCTGTCCCATCCACTCTCTTTTACCATGTTCTGGAAACGATTGCACTTCCTGTACCCTGTCGAAATAAAGATGTGATATAATATAGCGACTTACTATACTAATCTCTCCTCAGCTTTTGTGTGAATCGTCACTGCGTCTTTCTCGTTTATCTCCTTGGAAGTCGGTTTTCAGCTGGAAAGCACATTGATCTCATTTTTAGATGAGCGGGGAGGTGTGCGTTCAAGCGTTGCAGAGGCTTCGACAGACGGGTTCTTTCACGCGCCTTGTTGAAAATAAGTACAAGGGAGGTTCGTAGAGTTACAAATACAAATTTCGGGTTTAAGTTTTGTTTTAGGGCCGTCTAAGCGAATCGTCGTCGATTTCTCTTCCCCCAACATCGCCAAGCAGTTTCACATTGGAAACCTGCGTTCGACATTGATTGGAAGATATGTTGATCAGGTTTGGTGCTAATTTATCTGACAATCCCATAGAATTCTCATTACCAGGTGAACAGAGTGATGGGTAATCAAGTGACATCTGTGAACTATTTGGGCGACTGGGGTACTCAATTCGCGATGATCGCTGCGTTCTGGCCTCAAATGAAGCCATCCGACCAGTACTGGAACTCACTTTCTGAAGTAGAAAAGATTAAGCAGCTGACAGATTGCTATGTGGTTGCAAACAAAAACATGAAACTAGATGAGGAGTTCAGAGCCAAAGTTTACGAAACGTTCGTTTCAATGGAAAAAGCAGTGACGGAGGGTAATTATGAGAATGATGAAAACATGAAACTATGGAGCCAAATAAGGCAAATATCAAAGGAACATCTCACTGGATTCTATAACACATTTGATGTGAAGTTCGATGAGTGAGTTATTCTTTAAACAGTCAGAACGTTCATTTTCTATACAGATGGCTGTGTGAATCGAGTCAAGTACGAAAAGCCCATCAATACGCCCAAGAGCTAATTGACAAAGGATTCACAGAAGACTTGGATGGCAGAACCATAATTAGACTTAAAGACGGAGAGACGGAGAAGAAGAAACTCGATGGAGTCAACTATGCAATTCTACGAAAAAGCGACATGTCGAGTCTCTATTTAACCAGAGAAATTGCAGCGATTCTTCATCGAGATGCCACGTTTCAAGCTGATCGATACTTGTATGTTGTGGATCGTGCCCAGCGGCCGCATTTCAATGCTCTTAAAGTAGTTCTGGAGAAGCTCGGGCGGTCGGATCTTGCTGAGAAAATCGAACACGTTCAGTACGGAAGGGTGCGAGGGTTATCCACGAGAAATGGAAGAACAGAAGCTGTCGGAGAGATCGTCGAACGAGGAAGAGAACTAGCGTTACAGTTTATGAAATCGTCGAAAACTTTCTGCATGGATCCGTCCGTTGAAGAAGATGTAGGAAGAATATCGTTGAAGAAGATCTCATTTTCCAGGTCAACCTTAAATTTTCAGATCGCAGATGTCTTATCCATCTCTACAATCGTATTCAACGAACTGAAAAGAGCGCGTAATTCGGAATACGAGTTTTCCTTTCAAAACGCATTTGCATTGAATCAAAACAACGCATTGGCTCTACAGGTGCGTCGTAATGGGATGATAAATGAAAATCAGTGATAACAGAATTTCAGATGAAACATAGTCGACTGTCATCGATTGAAGACAAAAATCAACACCTTCTACCTCTAGTAGATTCATGCACCAAGTTTCCCGTTGACGATACAAATGACGATGTAAAAAGATTGATGAGATTATTAAAAGATCTTGAAGAATCAGTTGAATTGAGTGCTCAGAAGTTGGAAGCTTGTCAGCTGACGGTTCAGTTGATTCATGTGGCAGCAGCAGCTGGAAGTGTTCAAAAACAATTGCGAGTTAAAGATCAACGAGATGAGGTATGTTGAATAAGAATTTCAAAATCGAATGCTTCGAAATCCAGATCGCCGTTCCACGCCTTCTCCTCTTCTCTGCCGTGCGAAATGTCCTTGCCGAAGGTCTGAAACTTCTCGGAATGACGCCAGCTCGTTCGATGTGATGGTACGACCTGGAAAGGGTCCCGAAGCGTGCTTTTCCACAACAGTCGCATCGCCTTTCTAGGATATCAATGCTGTGATCATTATCTTTTTTAGTTTAGTTTTTCAGATTGTTCCATAATACTTTTTTAGAACTTCTCCTTCAAAATAACTTTTCCTGTCTTTTATGTCTTCTAGTCCAGATCTCTACTTTTTTTCACTTAGTGTTTTTCGAATTGCACCCAACAATATAAAAAAATCTATCCAGTTACATGCAATTGCCACAAAAAATTTTGCAATTTGGGTCTTTTCTTACTCCTCTGGACTCGGCGTCTTCGCCTGGTCTTCTTCATTTTGGTTGGAGAAAACACACCTCGTCGTCCGCAACCACATCTTCTCATTCTTCTTCTCCTTCACTTCGTCGTCCTATGTCCCAATTGTTTTATCCTTCCCTCGTGAGCACATACACACGCACACTACCACTACCACATAACATCGTCGTCCTATCTTCTCTTCTCTTCTGGTAGGCCTCCCCCGAAATCGTTGTCGACGACACCGGAGATCTCCAAACTTTCGACTCATTCTTCTCTTCTTCTTTTTTGTCTTCTTCTTCTGTCTACCCGAAACAGACAGAAAGAGTGCACTCCAATTCTCGGGTTTTCTTCGAATCGGTACTCCGGACGGAGGTCGTGAGATTTTTCAATGAAACTCAAAAACCAACTTGTTCTTCTAGACTATTCTATGGACTTATAAGTGATATGTGTTTCCACTTTTTTGCATCCTTTCGCCCCGTTTACCACAATTATTGGACTCCTTTGTCCATTTTAAACTAGACTTTTCCTAGGCTTTCCATACGTAGAGGTACTGAAAGATTCCACAGTAATCTAGTCCTTTTGGAGATGTCTGTTACCAATTTCAGCTTTTTTGCTGTATTCCGAAGCTATAAAAAAATTGTCAAGATATATTGCCGATTTTTGTCAATTTTTTCTGAGCCTGTTTTCTCAGTTTTAGTCTAAAAACTTTTTCCTATTGTCGACTGTAGAGATACACCGGTGGTCGGAGTTCCCATAGCGACAACTACCGTAACCTTCAATTTTTTTCCGAATAGTGAAAAACTTGAAAAAGAATGCAAGAATATCTAGAAAATAAATCCTGATAATAATTATATTTTTTGGTTGCTGTAGTTGTCGTTGTGGGACCTTTGACCACCTCCACTGGCTTTTCTTGTCCACAGCTCCGATTTTCGCATATCTGCATAATACCGTAAACACTCTAATAAATCCCGCCCCCAACCCGTCAACTTTGAGCTCTTGTATCTCATTTCCTGTAGAAGATATCGAAAAGTAACATACTAACAAAATGTTTATCATAATATCAAAGATATTTTGTCAGTTGACAACTTTTTGATATCTTTCACAGGAACTGAGATAAATTGGCTCAAAGTTTAAAGTTAGGGTGACGTTCTATTAGAGTATTTACGGTGTATTGTATTTTTGATTATGAGTATTGAAATTACTTCAGTCTGTTTGAGATACAGTAATCTTTAATCTCATTTATTTTATTCAAAAGCCCAATTATTTTCTAGATACCTTATGGTACTTATTATAGAAAGCTTCGGAAAACAACATTTTGAGAAATTCAAATTTCAAATCATGCATTCATCACATTTCCTCTACAGTTTTAACACTCCTGACCTGCTCTTCATGATGTACTTTTTTTTTAATTTTTTGGACCATGATCCCCAATTCTCTTCTCCCGATTTTGCAACAAAAAAAATCCGTTTTACGCCGTTTTTGGAACATCGGAGTACACAGATTCATCATTGTCACTCAAAAAGTATTCAGAACCTGTGAGGTTTTTTCAGATTTCCATATACACATACTTTTCTTGGTTTTTTCTCACAATTCTTATAAAATATTCAGTTTTTTTTCTGATTGAAAGATGCTCCTCACTTCCCGCTTATCCAACCGATTTGCCTTTTTTCCCTTCATACATGTTTCTTTTTCTTCTTCTTCTTCTTCTTCTTCTTCTTCTTCTTCTTCTTCTTCTTCTTCTTCTTCTCCTTCTTCTTTGCTATCCAGTCACATTTTTCGCAGAACATGACGTTCGAACCATTCTTTTAGTTATTCTTTAGTCCAAATTGGCCAAATCAATGTCCTGACTCTGATCAACTAATGATCTCTAATATTGCCGAAGCAGAAGGGAGCAGCAGTTGAAAAATGGCTTGTATGAATTGAAAATTGTTTGTTTTTTTCTGTTAGTTTTACGACGACTTCTCTCAGCTGTTTTGCTTATTTTTTGTATTCTTCTTTGACTTTTCAGTTTTCTTTTCTCACTTTTCAGAATACCCTTTGACTGAGTGGGCTTACAAATTCCGTTTTCTTCTCGTGAGATCATTGTTTTTGCTGCATTTATGTATGTTAAACTCTTCCTGGTATTAGGTTTCTTCCTCGAACCATTTTTCCAAGTGTGAATATTTTATTTATACCTAGATGAAACAAAAGGGCATATGTAGTTTAAAGTATGGGTTCATTTTTATTCACTTCCACCTTTTTGGGACTAGAAATTCTGGAAATCCGGAGAAGGGTTGGAACAACCGCTGAGAGATCATAGCTATTTTCGTCGGTGATTTTTCCCAGAAAAATTGTATTTTTGACGGTTATTTTTTTCTAATATTATTGCAAAAAAAAAGAAGAAAAAGCCGAAATCCTCGAAAAACGTCGTTTAAAGTGAACATTTTGCAAAAAAAAAGGTGATGACTTAAATTTTTTCTGGCCATGACCTAATTTTTTGATTTTTAGGTCATGACCTAAATTATTCTAGGTTGTGACCTACATTTTTGAATTTTTTGGTCATGACCTACATTTAAAAATTTTTTGGTCATGACCTAAATTTTTCCTGACCATGAACTAAATTGTTCTAGGTCATGACCTAATTTCTTGATTTTTAGGCCATGACCTAAATTTTTCTGGGTCGTGACCTGATTTTTTAAGATTTTCTAGGTCGTGACCTAATTTTTCGTTTTTCTATGTCATGACCTAATTTTTTGGACTTTTTAGGTCATCACTTATTTCTTGGATTTTTAGAAGATGACTTAAATTTTTCCTGGCCATGACCTAAATTTTTCTAGGTCATGACCTAATTTTTTTGATTTTTAGGTCATGACCTAATTTTTCGTTTTTCTAGGTCATGACCTACATTTTTCGTTTTTCTAGGTCATGACCTACATTTTTAAATTTTTTAGTCATGACCTAATTTTTTGGACTTTTTAGGTCATCACTTATTTCTTGGATTTTTAGAAGATGACTTAAATTTTTCCTGGCCATGACCTAAATTTTTCTAGGTCATGACCTAATTTTTTGATTTTTAGGTCATGACCTAATTTTTCGTTTTTCTAGGTCATGACCTACATTTTTAAATTTTTTAGTCATGACCTAAATTTTTCTAGGTTATGACCTAATTTTTTTGATTTTTAGGTCATGACCTAATTTTTCGTTTTTCTAGGTCATGACCTAATTTTTCGTTTTTCTAGGTCGTGACCTACATTTTTAAATTTTTTAGTCATGACTTAAATTTTTCTAGGTTATGACCTAATTTTTTTGGATTTTTAGGTCATGACCTAATTTTTCGTTTTTCTAGGTCATGACCTAACTTTTGGATTTTTAGGCCATGACCTAAATTTTTCTGGGTCGTGACCTGATTTTTTTAGATTTTCTAGGTCGTGACCTAATTTTTCGTTTTTCTATGTCATGACCTAATTTTTTGGACTTTTTAGGTCATCACTTATTTCTTGGATTTTTAGAAGATGACTTAAATTTTTCCTGGCCATGACCTAAATTTTTCTAGGTCATGACCTAATTTTTTTGATTTTTAGGTCATGACCTAATTTTTCGTTTTTCTAGGTCATGACCTACATTTTTAAATTTTTTAGTCATGACCTAAATTTTTCTAGGTTATGCCCTAATTTTTTTGGATTTTCAGGTCATGACCTAATTTTTCGTTTTTCTAGGTCATGACCTACATTTTTAAATTTTTTAGTCATGACTTAAATTTTTCTAGGTTATGACCTAATTTTTTTGGATTTTTAGGTCATGACCTAATTTTTCGTTTTTCTAGGTCATGACCTAACTTTTGGATTTTTAAAATCACGACCTGATTTTTGAATTTTCTATGTCATGACCTAATTTAACATTATTTTACGTGCCGGAGATGAAAGCTGAATGAATCCGAAAAATAGAAATGTAAAAAGGCGTCCCGCCGCCCTAGCCTAGGTTTCTCATTGCGCGGGAATTCAAATTTTCGTCCCTATTCACCACCTTTTTAGATCAAAGTTTTCGCTTTCAACTGCGATTTTCGGATAATCCAGATATTTTTTTAAAATTTTACACATTAATATTGGGAACATACATAACCTTTAAAGGTGGGGGGACATGAAAAAAATAATGTTCTCGATATTCCGTCTAAATATGCCCCTCGAGAGTTGAACTTGTGAGGACGAGGATTGGGGGTGCGGCGCCGCTACCGCCTGAGCCACGCGGGCAAAGAGAAAGCGGCACCTCGATTGCATACATAAAGGCGAGGACGACAGTTGTACGCAGAGTGACATTAAGCGTTGTACACCGTCACGGTAGAATGCATACTCGCCCCAAAAATCCCCCGTAAAATCTCCTGTCCCCCCACCTTTAAAAGGTTTTAACACAATGAAAGTTTTTGGTCAGACTCCCCATATAAAGTGAATATGATGTATTTCCATGTATCAGCCTTAACATTTTTACAATAATTCTTGACTCCCTGGTGGCCTAGAAACAACGATCATGAATCATTGAAATCGTGTGTCCATTATAGAGTCAGTTAGTGTCTTCATGATCATCATCATAAGTTATAAACTTTTCCAAGTACTCCAAAAACTTTAGTCTTTCATTCCGAATATGGGGTCTTTTGTTTATAGTATCTGTGTGTCTGTGTTAAATGCACCCATAACTCAGATTCCACAAAAGAGACACCAGAGAAACGGAAGTTGAAG